TAACCTTAAAAAAAAACAATGCTCAAATGGGAATGCCAGCGGCCACCCACTAATTGATTCGCTGCAGATGCAAAGATTACAGTGCTACAACTGGCGGCACTAGTAGCCCAAAGTCCTATTTTTAAACCAGGCAAAGTCGTGTTGACGTACGGCATCATCGCAAACACTATACACCCCCGTGAAAAGTAGAGAAGCCGCGATTAACAGCATGTGGAACTAGATCAACTCCTATGAGTAAGTGTTTGTTAGGCCATCCGAGCCTTTGGGAGATCCTCAAGGGTTTGCACCGCTTAATTCTCGTGTCCAGCCCTAAACTCAACCAACCTCAACCCGCAGGCATAGCCTGGAACCCAAATCCCAAATCCCCTAAGCCCTTAGACCTTCAAACACTAAGCCCTGCATCCCAACAGCCAAACTCCTGCTGAAACGCCCTGAACATCGCTGAAAAACCTACATTCTCCTGCTTTCACCGCCAGGTGCAGTTGACTCGCGCGGAGAAGCTTCTCTCCGGTTTGGGAAATGAGCCGATAGCTCATCTGCTTTGTTGGGATTTATGGGGAATGTGCTGATGTTCTGGCGGTACGTAGCATGTAGTGCTGTCATAGGTCTTGTCATGTTGAGGCTGCGAGAGTGTCACTGCCGTATTTTTTGGGTAAAGTCCCTCGCTCTAGTTGACTTGGGTAAACGTAGCAGACCGACGCTAAGTTTGGCGCAGCCTTTGAGGTCTGTGCGCTGGGATGCTGCCAGCAAAGTGTTGGAGAAGAACATCAAGTTCGTGATGGGTTGAATCCCCAGACAACGCAGGCTCTCCAACTAAGATTGGAAGGAGACTTGTTCTGTGGCCAGAAGAGCCAAATGCAGTCTGCGCATAGCAATTGCGGGTCATGGCCAGGTAACAGTAAGCACGTAAGAAGCTGCTGGGGCCGAAGATCCGTGCATGGGAAGCTGTGGGGCATGGTATAGCACCCTGCGATTAGGAAAGCTACAGCCCTCTGCGAAGTTCAACACTTGCGACTGGCACCCGGCCGCCTGTTTTTTTCACGCGGCAAACAGTTTTGCTTTTTCTGGACCCTTTGTTTTTCTCCTGGAGGGCCAGTTTCGGTGTGTGAAAGGCTTGCCCTGCAGCAGGAGAGCGGGGAAGAGAGGTAGAAAGGTACCAAGGAAGCAAGAAGGAGACAACAACAGACAGAAAAGAATGAAACAACAACAGAAGAAACAAAGAAGTTAATAGATAAAGAAATATTGGAAAACCATATGTATATACATATAACGTGCTTTAGATCGCTTCATGACTTTCATGATTTTTCATCATGTTTCATCACTTTCGACAATTTTCAGCATTGTTCATGATTGTTCAGCATGTTCATCCCTTTTCCCCAGTTGCCATGACCGCTCATCATTTTCGTCACCTGTCAATAACTTTCATAGTTTACATGATTTGTGATCATCTTTTATCATGTTTCATCAAAGTCATGAAGCTTCATCATCGCCATCATTTCCATCTCTCAAAAAGCATCCTGCCATGTCATGGCTACATTTGCAGAAAGGAAGTATTATGCGGATCATGTTGTTGACAAGTGGGGGTGGCGATGCCACCCCCCAACGCCCCCCCCCCGCCTCCCATTTTTGTCAAGGCCATCCAGGCTTGCCGTAACAAAGAAGCAGAAGCATCATGTCATCAGTAAGGGAGAGCTAATCATTTTGTTTGCAGATGGGGGGGCTTGCGCCCCACCCCCCTGCCTTTTTGAGGCTTGGCTATGTCTGCAGTAAGGAAGCGGGGCCGCACCCAAAAACACCTCCCCCCATCCACCACCCTATTCCCTCCTTCATGACCCCTCCTTGCCACCCATCCCCCACCACACAAAAAGGGCCCAAAACATAACGAACAAAGTGCGCCAAAACATCTACATCCTTTTCGGGCTCTGCTTGGTCGGTGGCACTTGGCTTAATGTGAAGACTCTTTGGTATGTGCTTCCGAGCAATTGTGGCTCACAGGCATTCCAATCCCGACAATGTGCTTCTCCGCCTTCAGATCTGTGCAAAGTCATTGCTGGCCGCCAGCTTGGCGACCAGCTAAATCCCACGGTGATGAGCAGGCTGGATCGAAGAAGCGATATCAGGAGCAGGTTAGGCAACACTTTGCATTTGCAAGCCGCTCAGCCACTGCATTACTGCACAAATCAATGTGACATATGCGTTCTGTGCCTGTGTTGCCACCATGTTGAGATAGAAATCCAAGGTCATGATGGAGTATGACAGCTCGAGGAAGGATGCCGGCCTTGAAGCTACGCAACTTCCCGTGCACGTTCCTCAGTTCTTGCTGCTGGGTAACCAGTCAGCTGGCAAAACAACCATCCTCCAAAGGATGACGCGGCTACCATTAGGCGTCACAGGATCACAGCAGGCCACCAATCGACCCTTCCAGTTCACACTGATTCATGATCCTGCCGAAGATGGGCACATCATCCACGTGGACAAGGAAGAGGTGAGCCGCGAGAACCTGCTGCAGAAGCTCTGTGCAAAGAACAATGAGTTGGACGGCATGTCCAGATTCAGTTCGTCACGGGTCAGTGTGAACATTCGGTCAAAGCGTGTCACATCACTCATCATCGTGGACATGCCGGGTCTCACTCTGACGAGCCAAGAACCAGGTGAGCTATAGTCTAAATTCCTCAAAGGGGGTTTATAGGGGATTATATAGGCGACTCTTATAGGGGTTACTGAGTGGGATACTTGGGGGTAGACTGTGGCTCAGGTGACCTGGCGCTGCGAGAGCTAGAACATCCCAACACCATACCCATTCTTGTCCTGGAGAATCGAGGAGATCTAGGCGCTTTAGACGGAGTTCGCGCCTTCTTTGACAAGGAACTTGACCTCCGCGGAATCAAAGCCGTGGCGATCATGAACAAGTTTGACATGATGATTATGCATGCTTCATCAGAATTAGGAACGGCCACGAAGTGGAATCAATGGGCCGACGCCTGGGAGAGGTCAGAAACGAAGTACCATGCCTGGTTCAATGTAGGAGTACCTCCTGGCAACGCAAGTCAAGATTTGGAAGCCCGCTTAAGGGAGTCACATTCAAACGAAGAGCAGCTCATTCAAACCTGGAAGAAGAGATGCGGCTCTCTAGCAAGTTGGCCAGAAGACATCCGTTTTGGCCTAGCCAGCTTTGAGGAATATGTTCATAGTGAGCAGTGGCACAAACTGTCAAGCTTTGTTGAAGCAGTGAAACCGAAATTACCGGCCCTTGTGGATGACGAGCAAAGTCTTTTTCTGCCAAGACTTCAAGATCACCTGCTCCAAGACCTGACCCAACTTGTGTCTGACGGGCAGAAGATTTGGAATGGACATCTAGAGTCAGGCCTCTACTCGACATTAGTAAAGAAGACGCTCAGGCAGGAGCTTGACTGGTTGAAAGAGCAGAAGCTAGACCATAGGGTGAGGGCAATGATGCGAATGTTTGAAACTGGCGATCGGAGACAAGGAGTCAAGCGAAATGTTGATTGCGAAGCCCCCGCTGCCAGTGACGACCGCAAGCCAAATGGGCTCCAGCACTGGCTTGTTGATGCAGTGTGCTACGCGGAGACTTGCGTGCTGGGATTGAATGCAACCACTCGGTTTTCATCCTGTGTGGAGAGGTTTGCATTTGCATGCCTTTGGCTGAATACGACATTCCACTACACGCCTGAGTTTTTCAGGAATGCAATGGCTGATCAGCAAAAGCAATCTCCCAACACAGCCATCATGGAGTACAAGAGGTCCATGTGCTCCCGAGTTTTCCGCCCTTTGGTTGAAATGATGGCAGTGCTTCTGGAAGACCAGTTTATGAGGAGCATGGATGCTCCTTTCGAGTCAGAGATGGTGGATCAGAGCGGCTGGTTTGTCTCGTTGATTCAGGCAGAAGTCAGTGTGGAGGACATCCGCAAGGCGCACAGAGAACAAGCCCTTTCCTTAGCGCAGCGGAGCTTGATGCAGTACTCTAGACAATTCCAGTGCGGCAAAAAAAGGAATCTCTTCATGCGTCAGTGCAGTGAATCACCTGTCATCCAGGTCAAGACCCTGGCGCAGGCGAGTGGGAGGGAGTTTCGCAGCCTGATGGACAAAGATGTGCAGACCCTCGAAGCTCAGCTTGTCCACAGCTTCTCGGATGACGAATCTGCCGAGGTCTTCAGACTCAACCAAACACTTTCTGTGCCCAAAGAAGAACAAAAGGGTGGGCAGCGCCAGTATTCTGCCGAAGCTCTGGGTCGAAGGCAGGTTCTCTTAAAAAGCTGGTCCAGTGTGAGTTGTTTTGTCATACCTTGACAGGTTCTTGCAGATCTTCGCGAAGCAGGTGAAGACGACCAGTGCACCACACATGGAAACTCTTCGACGGTAGGCTGTGGGTGCCATTGCTGAGGGCCATATTATCTCAACGGCTGTGAAGGCTGGCGTGCACGAAGTGGCCACTTTTTTTCATCCACTGGATGGGGATGAACCCAATTTCATCAGTGAAGATGGCTATCAGTGTATCTCCTCTGCTGCAACATATGCCCGGTTGCTGCAGCAGACGGGTGATCCGCGCGACCTCAAAAGACTACACTTGAAATCTGGCAAGATCAGTGCCACCCAGTTCTCTGAAGTTAGCATCGAAGTTTTCGGACATTCGCAGTTGCAGTACTGCTTTTGGGTTCAGAGACCTTATGCAGGACGTATAGACAAGCGTCAGCTGGAAACTGAAACATACTGTTGTGTCATGCTAGTGGATGATGATGAACAGACCATAGTTGATGTTCGCCCAGCCTTGCCCGAATGGCAAATCATCAAGTTCCAGATTCCAGCAGATAATCACAACTACGAGATCCGCATCTCGGACATGCAACGCAGCGGCATTGCTTGCAGAGGTCTAAGTCTGATTGGCCGCGGTGTTCCACCAAAAGCTGCGGCACCAACTATTGCGATACCAGTGGCAAATGCACCTGAGGGATTAGTCGCCATCATGCAGGCTGAAGTGTTGCGAACTCCAGCGGAGATGCATCCTCACAACTCTGTCGAAGAGACCATGTTTCATGAGCTTCACAGAAGAATTTCCATGGAGATGGTCTCGACCTTCAAGCAGTTCCAGGTAGACCTTGCCAAAAACATCAACCAGTTCCAGAGTCAGACACATGACCGCTCAATCGTTTTGATCAATGGGCTTGAGCTGTTTGTGAAAGGGACACGTGAGAAGCAGAGTGAGAGAAGGAACGTGCAGATAGCACAGATTGTGCGCCGGTTGGAGCTGCTCAGCAAGGCATCCAGCCTTGTTCAGACTTCTGCAACATCGTGATCCTTGTTGTGCCTGTTTTTTTTCTGTCAATCTGCAATTCGTGCAGTTTCAACAACGGTGTGCACTGGCGCATGCTTGTAAAGCAGAGACGCCAATGATCAATGCTGCCAATGAACTATACTTAGTATGTACAGCCCATGTGATTTGACTGCGCACCCAGCTGTGGTACGGCAGGTGCGCTGAGATTGTGGACGCAAATGCCCAATGGAGAAACATTCCGGACCACAGTATATTTCGCTTGTATAACGCCTGCCATGTCTTCATGCATGCAGAAGCAACTAAAAAAGGCCTCCAAATGTTCGAGAACTCCGCACATTGTACCTACCTAGAGCAACATGCTGCCAACACCAAGGCGACATTGCCTTGGCCGCGGGCTTCATCGCTTATGCTGGGCCCTTCACGGCGGAGTTCCGCAGTGCGCCGGAAGCCCACAAAGAGGAACGATCAAGGGGTTTAGGGCTTTTGGTTTAGGATGGCTTCAGGCTTTGGGGGTTTAGGGCTTAAAAGGGAAGAATCTGGCCAGCATGGGAATCATGTTCCAAGGCTGATCGCCCACTGGCTAGAGAAGGCCAAGGAGGCCTGGCATGCTCTTCGGGTCGCAGCTCTCCTACCGTCCATTGCAACCCAAGCTGCCTACTTGTTGCTGCTGCATTCGTTATTCCTGCTTCTTGTTCCTTGGACTCGGTTGATGCCAGGGTGCTAGGGTCTGTGCTTGCAACGCCAGGCTGTTGAGTAAACAGCTTCACGCTGAAATGCTCCAGGGCTCTTGAGTGGAAAGACCAGCTTCTAGCCAGGTAAGCTTGACGGCAGATCCTGCGTGGAAGTCCCAGCCCAAGTCTGGGACCAGCAGAACACAACACCATACAGTTGTACGCTTAGTGTAGGGATGGCTGATTCCTTCGGTACTGCAAGAGTTTGCGAACGCATGCAGCGGTCCTGGGCAGATCATGGATTATGGTCGGCCAGGATCATCCATGTTACTTCGTGTGTTCACAGCTATATAACACTTACTTGCCGCCTTCTACTTGCAGCTTTTGGCATGCCCCTGGCCCCGGCCCTTGGCCTTGGATAGACAATGACATGGGCGGCTACTTTGCACCCCTCGCAGGTGTGCCGACACTCTCTGCGAGCCAGCGGAAATTCGAGAGTGGAATATCAAGCTTCCTGGCTTGAATGGCAGAATGAACCTGGCGAAACAGGAGTGTTGCAGGGGACAGAATCTCAAACCCGTAGAAGATTCTAGCAGCTGTTGTGGAAGAAGGTCACTGCCCGCCGACGACCTCTCTGTGGAAAATGGCATTCTGGTCACACGCGGTCCCCCCGCTAAGTTTTATGGGAGTCAGCTCTGTATCACGCAGACGGTCACAGACACACCGGATAAAGGAGGCTTTGCACAGGCAGACCACCCTCCCAAACCTGCCAAACAGCATGAAGCCAGGTCGACGGTGGCCTTTGATGATCGACCCACAGGGTCAGGGCAACCGATGGATCCGCAACATGAAGAAGGCACCGCACAGTGGGGGTTGGAAGGCTGCTATGGCCGCTTCTTTGGAATGGCGGTGATTGGGATGCTGCGGCATGAGCCATGCTGCGATCAGGAAACCTTGAGTGAACGAATCAGTGATGGAATTTCTTGGTCAGGTTGAGCTGTGATGACCCCTTCAATTGGCATGCAATCTTCCCTTATCACACAGATTCTTGTCCACACGTGCACGGCTAGATGCAGTGCAGCGCGTGGTTCCGGTGTCCGAAGCGTCCAAGCGGCCCATCTTAGGCCCCGGCTAAATCGGCCGGGAGAGGTCCGCGGCTTTGCGAATCGCTCTCACCGCCGTAAATTTGTGCAGTGCTCCATGAGCAAGGTCCAGGATTCCATGTCCAACCCCCAAAGTAACCCCACACTGAGGAGGATGCACCCCAAAATGAGACAAATCGATGCCACTAACCAAACAGTCAGAAAGACCTAGAATCCTGAACAGCACGGAAACTGCTCGTCTAACAAAGAAAATTAACCCCGCCAGCGTCGGTCTTGGAGAGTGCGGATTGTCTCTGACAAGAGCCCACTTTCCAGCTGGTCTGTGCCAAAACTGAAACTCTTGCACTTTCAAGCATAACACCAACTCCACCCATGAAACATGCGTACAAAGGCCACCCTCCGTATCAAGTCTCAGAATAGCATCCAACAACGACTGAAAGCAAGCTACGGGAAACTCATGGTTCTGCCGATTAACTCTGCTACGCCGGTCAACAGGCACCCTGTCAGACAGATCCAGTAGCCTGGGTAGCCACTCGATTGGTTTGCCCTCCTCGGTGTCCTGTGCCCTGGAGGCCTGACTTCCCTCCGTGCGTTGGGCTATGCGAAGATAGACCCTCCTCAGATCGCGAATCCTCTTGGCATTGGCGTCGTGATACGCCGCTGCCTTGCCGTGAAGTTCAACGAAACTCTGGGATCGACCTCGATTAGCAATGTCCGCCTGATGATCTGCGTGACCATTCCACTTAGCCACCCAATCTTCGAACGCGCTTTCGCAACATTGCTCATCAAGATGTGAGGGCACGTGCTTGACGCCTAGGGTCCCACTAGGGAACCCCTCGCCATGCACATGCTCTCCCATAAGTCCCAGTTCTCGCTGTCCGCGTCTGGCTCATCTCCTCGCAAAATGGCCTGCACGCCATCACTAACGTACATGGAGTCCGTCCAAAGACTTGTACAAAGCCTATTAGACAGGCCCCAGCGGACTGCGTACAAGGCTGCCTCAAGCTCGGCTCTTGGTACCGTCTGGTACCCTCCCGAAAGTGGACTTGCCTCCAAAACTTGACCAACTGTAGCATTGACGACTGCCCATGCTGCCAAAGAAAGAGGTCCTTGAAACAGTTTGGTGCCATCAGTGAACAGATCATGCCATTCACTAAAGTCCCCATCAACAACAACCTCAGGAACCCTTTTTGGAATGTCCTGCAGCGCTTGCAACAATTCCGAGACCCAAGGATTCTGAGGAACAAGCAGGTGATGAGTCAGAGACTTCGGCAACTCAGACCACTCCGCCAAGGTGCCTTCACTTCCATGGCGACAGTCTTGATACCTTGGACAGTCCTTGATCTTGTGCTCCACTGTCTCGAGAACCCCGCACAGGCTGCACTTGCCTGTTTTCGTAGAGTCGTACTTGCAATGCTGAGCATCCACAATGTAACAACCAGACTGTAAAGCACTCACTCTGGATCTTTCAACAGAACTAAGCTTTCCCGCATCCAGATGCGCCAACTCCAAGTCAAGCGAAGTAAGCTCCTGCATGGTCTGCCTGTGGCTGTGCTGTCTGGCCACCATGTTGATCCATTCCTGCTCCATCAGCTTTTTCATGAACCGTTTGGGGGCCCTGAACAAATCCAACCTCAATCCCTTGGTGGTCTGCAAAAACGGAGGGCAGATCGAGCCCCCTGTACGCGTGCACAATTGAAGGAGAGTGCTAAAAGGCCCTGGCAGAGGCTGACCTTGAGAAAGTTCGCTGAACTTAGCCCAACTCTCGGGCAAAGTAGGCTGCTTTAGCCCGATCCGTCTTAGGTCTGAGATCAAATGCCAAAATTGATAAAAACCCGGGTCACATGTCATGTCCTGTGCGAGTGCTAGCCTTAGAGCTGAGCTTGCGCCAGCCAAGTTTAACTCCAACGCACTGACTGCTTTAGCTCTTAGCCCAGAAAGCCTGGACTCGGAGAGCATGCACCCAGAACTGCCATGAAGGACCTTGGCCCAGGCCTTGAGTGGAATGACCTCCAACTTCTGCGCAAGTGGCGCCTTAGATCTCTTCAGGCCCTGCCAGAAGCCATCAAGAGACTTGAGCAGCTTTTCTTGATTTGCGAATCTTGGCCGCTTGCCATATGTCATGAGTCCCCCCAGAGCCTTGGCTTGACCAACAACCTGGAACTGTAGCGCCTTCAGTGTGTTCCTGGAAGTGGCATGGAGGCCCCACGCAAAGGTCTTGTCGTCCTCAACTTCAAGACCCCAAGCTTCGGCAAAGCATTGAATGCAGGTGAAGGCTTGGGCCAGATCTGCTGCTCGAGTGGCCAAACAAGAAAGGTTGTCCACGAACGACAGCGGAATTGAGCTCGGCGCAAAATGCTGCATATACACATGCCAAGCCCAATCTACAATCGTCATCGCCAGTGTGGACATCGGGTCTCCTTCCGGAAAGCCCGTACTTGACGAGATGAACTCCCCGACCTCTCCCCTAACGACAAAGGTTCTTTTGAGGCCATCAATGAATCTGCTCCAGCACCCTATCAGAAACCCAGGCACCCCTAACTTTCTGGCTGCAGTGAAGACTGGATCGCGTGGCAACGTGTTGAAGGCCGCTACCAGGTCTGTGCTCAAGCCCAATTGATCCACGCCTTCCAGACACGCCAGTTCAATGGCTACCTGTGTTGTAAGCCAGATTTCCTTGGACTCACGCTGCGGCAGATATCCATAGAGCCCCTGATCAAGCGCTCGCGAGATTTGAAGTAACATCTGCCGGGTTCTGATGCTTGACCAAGTCCTGAACACAATGCTCAATATGCAAATTGGCCTGAAGGCTTCAACACCTTGTTTCTGATTTTCTTTGTCGAGACTCATAATGAGCCCGATCAACATCTGTTCGGGCCACTGCGATTCCCCGCTCTCAATCCTGGTCAGGAATGCTACCAGATCTGCGACTTGTGAGCGAGTCATTCGCTCAAGATCTTGCTTCGCGAATCCGTCAATTCCTCTTGCCGCACGGGGCTTATACCTTTTGAGTGCATGGTACCAACCATCCACATCCAAAGAAGGCAGCTCGAAAGTGCACGCTGGGAGAAAGGCTGCACAGAAATCCATTGCCCTCCTCCAAAATTGCTTATCAACTTGTGCATGTTTTTGCCATTTGGCCGCCCAGTGACGGGCGAATTCATGATGGATGTCTGAGGAATCCGTGAGAATCTGTTGTTGCAACAACTCCTGGCCTTCAACTGGCTTGCTTGCCGCCTGAATCGAACACAGATGGCCCTCAATCGCGGCAACTTGGCAAGGTTCCCCTTCTAGTGTCCATGAACTAGCTCCCCGGTCATCAACGGCGGGTTCAATGTGAACCTGTAAACTGTCTGGATCCACCTCCAAGACCGTGTAAATGCGCTGAAACTGCAAGGTGTCCACCGCCTCTGATGATTGCTTACGGAGTTCCTTGAACAATTGCTCCTTGCCTCCCTGGTGCTTGGCCTCCAAGACCCGTGCCCTGGATCTGCAATGCCAAGCTTCAAAGGCTCTGAAGTTGGCTTGAAAATCTTCCTGAATCCTCCTGCATCCTTCCAAATTTGGAACTGCTCGTGGAAATGTTGCCGGGCTACCTTGCAACTGAATTTTACGACTGGCCCACCACCTAGAGAAGCCCCCCTTAAAGGCCTGGCAAGTACAAATGGCATGCCAAAGCTCAGCACGGTAGACCTGTGCATTTGCCTCTTGTTTGCCCGCCTTGAGTGCATGTGTCATGCTTTGGATCCTGCGCAATTGTTTGTACCATTGAAGAACTTCTCTCCCAATACAATGAGGTCGCAACCCAACGTCACTTCACCCTGTCTGCTGGGTTTGGCCAACGGTGCTGCCACGTTCTGCAATCTTGGCTCGACATTCCTTGCTCGGCCCCGGCAAGATTTGGGAAGCTGAGCTCCTGGGAGGTCCTGGGCAAAGTACTCCAAGCTGCTCTCAAAGCTTGTAGCAAATGACTTATACCACTCGCTTGAGGAAAGGGACGGATCAACCGGGGGAAAATCACACTGCTGCCACTCTTTGACTCTAATTTGATCCCATGGCAAGCTTGAGGGCATGGTCCAAACCTTCCTGAGTGAGCAACAGTCTTGGGTCCTGAACTTGGCCAGAAGCATGGCATGATCTGCAAACGGCTCCTGAATGGAAACCCCTGCGCACAATGCAGCAAGCTCAGGTGAGACCCAAAGGAGGTCTCGTTGCGTTGCGCCCTTGCAAGTTGGTTGAGGCTCCCACTGCCAGGAAACTGGCCAATGCTTGAATTTCCGTCCATCCATGCATTTGCCACAATTGGACCTCTTCAAGTGTGCTTGGGCAGTGATTGAAGTCGCCTGCCACATATCGGGGACCAGTTCTGCCAAGAACGATGTCACGAGTGACCCCGACGAGTAGGTCATTTGTGGCTTGACGCGCCTGAGGATGCGTCTGTCCCGATGGATATCCGTAGATTACTGCGCCAGTGACTGGCAATTCACCAACCTGATGAAAAACTGGTAGCACCCTCCCTGATGCTAGCACGCCCTCATCCCAGGGCAAGCTCAGTTTTCGCGTGGGGAAATCTGCCATACACATGACCCCACTCCAAGCTCCCGCCCAAGAGGAGTTTACCCTGATGGGTGCCGGCGCTCCATGAACCACTCTAAGGTTCCTGCCTTGCTTTCTTGCCAAATACTTGAGGCTACGGGCTGCGGCTGGTGCCGTGATCTGAGATAACTGCGTCTCAGCCACACAAAAGATGCCCTCACCAAAGTCTGAAAAGATGCCTTCCTTTCCACGTACCCCGGTTGGGTTTGTGGTCCCAATGGTTAGACATCCATCCTGATGCGGACCCGGATTGTCCGCCTCGCCAACACGTTGTGCCTTTTGACCACCCCAGTCAATGCTGACACAACTTGTGCAACCCCACAACTCATCCCCTGCGGCTTCTGTGCGCAAAGCTGATCCCGCTCCAGCCACTGTCCCAACTAGTGAACAGAGCAAGACCAAAAGTCTGAGACCGACGCTGTTATAGGTCTATGCAAAGAACAGGGCATGCCACGCGACCTTCCGTGGCATCCCACGCGCCGTAGTCAATCAGACAACTTCCTTTTTGCGAACAGCGATTGGAACTGTTCCATTTGACTTTGGAACTGTGTTTGCATTTGCTGCGCAAAACCTGCTTGCGTGGCTTGAAATGACTGGTGCACTGATGCTTGGATGGTTGTGCGAGTCGATTCTGCCTGGGCCTGAACTTGCTGGCCTATGTTTTGCAAGGCAACCTCATTGTGGGAGACTGCCACCTGAACCTCCTTAACCTCTGCGGCAGTCTGTGCCATTTGCCCATTCACCGAGTCAACCCAGCTTGCAAACTTGCCGTTCTGCTCAACGACCTCCTGAAGACTGGCCTCAAGCCTTTGAAACCTGGCCTCGACTTGCCTGTCTGCTTTAGCACTTTGATCCTGCAAGGCCGATTCAACCTGCTGCTGGGCTGCTTCCTGGGCACTTTGCTTGAGTGAGGTCTCAAGAGCTTGAACTGACCTTGGGATTGCTTGGGGGCTGCGCTGCCATGACTGGCTGCTTTGTAAAGCGCCCACGGATCAGGCTGCTTGACCCAGGGGTCTTCCTCATGCTCGGCGCTCTGGCTTGATTGTTGCAGGGCTTGCTTGGTGCGTTGAGATGCGTAGACCTGCGCCTCACTTGCAACCTTGGCCCCTCCCCCCCCAATCCTGGTGGCGATTGCGAAGCCTGCGTCGGAGGATGCGTTTCGGCCCCTATCAGCCAAGTAGCTCCTACTCCATCGCCACGACCTGGCTGTACCCAACCCCATCCACGCAGCAAGCTGATAACGTCTGATCGCTGCGTTCCGTGTGGTAATGGATGGAGTTTGAATTTCATGGCCACCTTTGCTTTGAACGGAACTCCTGGCTTGGCTTGTTTAAAAACAGCCTCCTCATCCGCTTCCCTGACGCGGACCCCGAATTTAGTGCCCAGCCTAATGACTGCCAAGGCCTACTAACAACCTTGTGCGGCCTGCAGGACTTGATGTCTGTGGGCAGGGAGGCTGTGGTGACCAAACACAACGGATCCGTGCTCAGGGGCTCTCCTTGAAGGAATGGCGCAGCCTGTGCTGCAGTGCAGAAAGCCAACCCATGTGCTTCCGTAGCCACTTCATTGAACTTGATTTGGTGCATCGTTTGACCATCGGCCGCGACAAAGGATCCTTCAGCAATGCTCAGCAGCTCAGGATCCACAGACAACGCTGGTGTGGCCTTGCCCATGAGCGCCTGTCTGCGCTTCTTTCGTCCTCTTTCAGGGACAGCTGCTCCGTCGGAACTGCTAGCCTTTTCTCGAATTTTGGCCTCTAGCTCTTCTGGCAGAATGAGTCTGAAAACTTGGCCTGGCCTAGATGCAATGGCTTTCAACTGACGCCATGGATTCTGTGCCTGCAGGACTTGTGCCACGGCTGTGACACCAACTTTCTGCACCAGGGCTTGAAGTCTTTCTGCGGACTTAGTCTTCGGCGCTCCCTTTTCAACGAGAAGCTCCTGGAGCCGCTGGGTTTCCTCAGCCGTTAGGTTGCCACGACCCACATGCAATCAAGCTGGCGGCGTCTCTGACAGCAGGTGTGCTTGCAACTTTCTCAGCGCCTGGAGAGTTGTGACCTGTTGACCGCCCACCACCAGAGCTGCATGAGCGACTGCCACTGTGCCACACCCAATACCTGGCTCTTGTGTGAACCACCTCCTGGCAGTGACCTGCTTTAGATGCTTGCCCCAATGGCCACAGATGATCGCCGCTAACCTTTCAGCATACTGCTGCAGCCCAAAATCCCGGCCATCAAGATAAATTCCCTCGACTTGCCCTTCAGTGTCCCCAGTCAAGCAAAGGCATGCCCAATGACCTTGGTGTTTGAAGACTGCAACAAATGACCGGGCTGCATGAGGGATCACGTTGCCTGGCCTGACCTGACCTTTGGCATGGTCCTCGAGGCTCATAATACCAGAGATGGCTCCTGGCGAGAGAGTGACCCAACCCGGAGGTGCCCTGACACGAGCTTTTGCACGGCTCCGTAAACTGAGGTATCTCCAATGGAAACCCTATCTGGTGCAAAGGAGTACTTGGCCCTTGCATCCAACACATCCCCGGGCATAAGGCTGCTTCGAAATGTGACCCTTTGCTGAGACACAAGATGGCGCACTTCCCCTCCAAGCCCGAGCCTTTGGACAAGCTCACCGGTTGACATTCCTGTTGGAACCCCGACCCTGAGCGTGTCGCTCCCTATCAGAATGCCAACCTGGAAATGTGCTTTTGCAGATCCCATGCATGCAAAGCTGATTTCAGGCTGCAGCCCGAGCTGACTCTGAGGTGGCGCTGGAGAGTCGCACACATTTAGCCCGGGTTCCTGCGCCTGAGCCTGACCTGCCTGTGACCTTGGCTGACACTGCAATCCGGAGTCTATTGACTGACATGTGGCGCCTGCCTCGCCCCCGCATGGGAACTGTACCTGACCTGCCTGTGACCTGGGCACCTGCGCCTGAACCTGACTGGCTTGTGCGATAGGCAGTGGAGGTGGTTGCATCACTCCCTGCAACCTTGACGCCTGGCTTGCATCCCGGCTCCCTGGCTTAGAAGGTCCCTGATCTGTCTGAAGGTCTGGCCCCAGGGACTGTGACCTTGACTCCTCTAAGCCTCTTTGATGCGCTTGCAATGCTGGCTCCTGGCCTGCCTGCTGCCTGTGCACCTGGACCTTTGCCTGACCTATGCAGTGGAGGGCAACCTTCAAGGGCAACTGACAGTCCTCGCCAAGTCCAGCCTCGATCAGGTCATGTGTTCTTTTGCGGTCTGGTTGTGCCTCTTGAGAAGGTGGTTCAAACCAGACCTCTATGCACGCACCCAACCTGGCCGGAAGAAGGGCATTTGCAGCGACAAGTCTCCCGTCTACGAAGACGAGCCCAACTGGACTGACCTGCCTTTTCTTGGCTTCTGCCTCAAGCAGCTCCTTGGCCAGCATTGGCCTTTGGATTTCTCCGCTGAGAAGGGCACCTTCAACCTTAAACTGCATTTGCCTGCGCTGCCACATGGATGGAAGAGTCCACCTGTCATCACGCTGCCGCAAAATTCACATCTTGAACGTCTCAAGTGCTTGCTCCTCTGATGGCAACTGTTCAGCATGGAAGTTGGCGGCCCTCCACCTCGAGATTTGGGCAAAGATCCACAAGGACTGCAAAGGCGATGCGATTTGTCCAATCATGCACAGTGCTGAGCGTGGTGAATTAGGATGCACATATGATGGGGGCACTCCATTGAGCAGTCCTAGCTCTTGAGGGTGAATGTGCCGCTTCCCTATGCCCCCAGCCGAATAAACCGCAAACCCTCTAAGCCCTTTCTGGAGCAGCCTGTTCTCATGCAAACCCATCTTCCGACACCCGCACGGGCAGGGATCTAACGGGGATCCATAGGAGTGCAAGGCTGTTGGCGCCGGGCGCCGCATGTCCAAGGATCTGGCGTCCTTGCCGTAGCGTGCATCTCCAAACTTGGCCACTTCCTGCACTGTCCACTTGAGGTTCTCTTCCTCCGCCTTCGGCCAAAGGGGCCACTCCGGAATGATTTCCCCCACGGTGCGGCCCCAGCTGGCTTGTGTCCACCCCCTCAATTTGAAGGTTTCCGCCGCTTCTGGTAGCAACACTGCCCACCATCTTCGCCTGTGGCTGGCCCACTGATCGGCTAGCTCCAAGGTGATATCATGAAGCACAAGCTTCATCTTGGCAGCAAAGGTGCGAATGGCTTGCATGGCTTCATCGCAGTCTTGGACCTCCGAAACGCATTCCAGGATGAGGCCCGCACACTGCATCTGCCAGGCTAGGAGGAGTACGCTGCCTAGCACCTCAGACCTGGGATCCGCTAACGCATGGCCTGAACCTTGGCGCGAGTATGGTTGGCATGGGAAGCCAGCTCCAAGCATGACAGGGTGCTTGGGACTCATAAGGTGCACCTGTTTGCGTACCTCAGGGTCTTGGATGTCGGCTTTGACTGCGAGCCCTCCGTTCGCTTTGACAGTTGCAGTCGCCAAGTCACTTTTGTCGATGAAAGCACATGTCTCAACTCTGGCAGCCTGTGCGCCAAGGGAGAAACCCCCAATCCCCGAACAAACCTCTATAAGCTTAGAAAAGCTGATGGAGTCAGGCTGGACATGCACTCGAACACACGTGTCTGCCACTGCCTCGTAGCAAGGGAGTCCGCTTCTGTCCTGAGTCCTGCGAACGCCATACACCGTAAAGCGGCCTCGTGTTTCCCATTTCCAGCCCAGAACAGTAAACTTGTGACCATACCATGGACAGCAAAAAAAGATCTCGCCCTCCAGGAAACCAATACAATCACAAACACAATCCAGGAGCTGACCCTGGTCCAAACTTACCACCGACACGGGTTCCCACATGGCTCTACACCCCTCAGGATCTCGCTGACACCACTGACCGCTGGTAGGTCCCTGAGCCCAGCTATGCAATCTTCCCTTAGCTGGATGACCGCCTGAGATGAACAATGAGCCTTCGCATCAAACTGTGCAGGACACTGGACTGGGCATCATCAAGCTCAGCACGCCAAATTTCTTGCGAACAGTGGAGACATGCATCCGCGAAGGCCCACGGAACGGACGGCTGTAGCCATCATTCTCGGATGTCCGGAATCGCATGCGTCCCACATGTCAGTAGGTGTGCATGAAGCTGTTGCAGAGGATTGCAAAGTACTTTTATTCACTTCACAAGCTGCGGTGGTTTGAGAAGGAAATGGACCTCACAGGACTTCATCTGACGTCTGAGGCTCTTGTTTTTTACATGTGTAGCTGTTCCTGCTTGAGGCAATGCCATCCTTTTGGAGAATGTTGAGGAGGCTTTACCTTCCTCGCTCTTCCCTGCTTGGCTGCCAGCCACAGATTCTGCTCGTTGAAAGCCAAGAATGAGAATACTTCCCCTGGCCGGAAAGCTTCACAGCTCTTGGCATGAGCCTGGTGCGTCCTGCTAGGTGTTGGATCCTTCTTTGGAGCCTGTCCTGCTCAAGCAGGCCACACAGAATTGAGAATGACAAGAAAATCACTTCCTTCTGAGTTGGTATCCTTCGCTTCTTTGGCTTCGGTTTGTTTTGGGTTTGCCTGCTTCAAAGCAGGTCTTCAAGAAAGGCGGGCAACTCCTCCTCCGGCTGGGCAGTGAGGACGTGCGGCGCGCTCAGAAGACTTCTCTGAGTCTTCATGCAGGGCATGCTTGTAGACCCCGACAACACAATTTCCATTTTCTTTTCCATTGATTCTCCATTGTTGGGTCCATTTTTCGGGTCTGGAGACGCTGAGTCCTAATGTTGGGAGGTAGCTACCACAGGCCGAGTTACTCAATTTGCGGGGGTGCTAGTGAACTTGGCCGTGGCCTCCTTCTGGTAGCTTTGGAATTTGGCGTGTTCCAAATGCAATGCCATGAAATATTTCTAGCAGCAGCTCAGACAATGCTTGCAAGCATCAATCCGCATTTCACTGCAACCCGTTGCCCTTCCGGGGTGTTGCTCGCCAAAGCAACTTGTTGCCCTTAGGCCTTGTAAATGTCAAGGCCATACAACGAGGGCTTCCAGTTCTTCGTGACAACCAAGATGGCCAATCCCCGCTACCTTCCGGAGATTTGCATCAAGGTGCGGTGGCTAAGAATTGATGAGGCATTGCATCCATTGCCTATCTAAGCTCGCGTGCTCCTATACTCTCAGAAAGACCAGTTCACCTAGTTGGTGGAAAACATGCCCATAGTGCTTGCCTTCGGACAGGTGACTGTCATCAACTTCACGGTGACGCTGCTTGGGCTGGAGGCTTGTCACAGGGTTCCTGGCACTGGTTCACTGCTGCACCCGGCGTGGAAGATGTCCAAAACTGCTGCGCTGCCCCGAGCAGGATCAGCTGGTGGCCGAGGTCGTCAAGAACGAGCGCCACATCTTGAATGTCAAGCAACAGAAATTTGCAATCTGCACGATACTGGAACTCCCTGAGTGTGTTGTACAGCTGCACGGACCAGGAGCATCATTTTTTGAGCCCCAAGCATGCAACCAATGTAGAGCTATGTGGACTTCAAGGTATACAGCAAGGACCTGATGCTTTAGTACGTCACCTTTGGTTTCAAGGAAACGCAGCCCAGCTCTTCAGAAATGGATGGGGGTGGCTGCCATTATGATGATCATCTGGACTGTAGGCAGAACAAATAGTGGATTTGCAACTCAGAGCTAGTTGAAGGAGTTCCCGTTATTGTGGCTTAGGGCCTCGCTCTTCGGGTCCTTTTGTGGGCTTCTGAGAGCCTCTTCCGAGCCTTGGGCTTCTGGGCTTTTCTAGGGCCTCGGGCCTCTTCGGAGCCTTTTGTGGGCTTCTGGGCCTCTTCCCAGCCTTTTTTGGCCTCTCTGGCCCTTTTGTCGACCTTCTGGGCCTCGGAGCCTCTTCTGGGCCCTGTCGCTACGTTTTCGGGGCCGGAACCTCTCAGACAGCCAACAATCTAATGCCTGTGTCTTAAGCTGCTGAAGCCCTGCAGCCCCCCAGTCATCCAGGCGCCCGGACTTGGCCGAGTTGCGCGCAGGGCTGGTGGTGCAGATCGCGGCCGACAAGGCGGGTCAAGGGTGGCCTTGTACAAACTCCAGGATCATCAACATTCCACTACACTTTTGGGCACTGAAACTGGAATGCTTGCTCCAGATCGCCTTGAGCCCAAACTCCACTTCGTGAGCTTCGGAGTGCACAGGCCGAGATGGACCGGCTGGAGCAATTGATCTTGAAGTTGCTCAGTGAGGCCAGGAGGATTGTTGAAGGAAGTCAGTCTCACAATTTGACTCTTATCCGGGGCTTTCATTGGTTCTGACCAAAGTCAGTTGATGCGATACCCCCAGATAGCTAGGATTAGGTTAGAAGCCTGACCAGGCAGGGGATGACCTCCTCGCAGATGACACGCTGATTGTCACGCTGGATCAGCCAAAGCCTTGGGTTTTGTGCGCTTGCTCCATGCTTTCAGTTATTTGACGGTTCGGCAAACAGAGCAGGTCCTGCAATCCTGCCAATGCACAACATAAGAATCCCAAGTAGACACCTGCCCTTAGAGCTAGAGTTGAGTTTGGGAGATGGAGACTGGACTCGCATAGAAAAGGGTGCTTGCAGCTCTGTATCTTCAGATCGTGACCAATTGTCATCGGGCTTTCCAGCTCAGCATTGAATTTCCCTGGCCGCCCTGAGAATTGCTGAGCAAAAGCCCAAAGCTTGGAAATCTGAACGAACAGGAACACCCTTAAACTCATGATTTGTGTGGCCCGCATACTGTTTGTCACGTTGTCTGCCGCGTACACCAGGGAGTGGTTTTCCCCAGGGTTGGCTCCTGTGTCTTGGTGTGAAAATCCTGGCCCCCAGACCTATTACTCTTGCTATTACCATTACAATAACTATTGCTATTGCCATTGCCATTGCTATTACTATTCGTATTACTAGTACTATTGCCTATTCCATGCCGCTCTTAGAGATGGCTGCGATACTCAAGTTCAACATCATCTGGTTCCAGCATCTGCCCAATGTTGTGAACCTAACCTCGAGCCCGCAGAATGTGTACAAGCCAAGGTCCAAGAAGACAGGCGATGGCTGCAAGGACTGAAGTCTTCAAGACCGTAGGCTTTTGGGTTCAGAGATTCGGGTGTTCAGGGAGGGGTTAAGAAGCATGCTTGCTTGGGGGGTCCAAAGTGACGAATCAAGAAGCCTGCAAGGACTGCCTGTGCAGCCTGATAGCCCAGACCCTCAACACCGCAAAAGGAAGCAGGTTAGGAATTAAATAATTAAACAGGTCCTGAGTTTGGGAAGCAAGCTTCTGTGCCTTGCTCACAGCATTGAACCTCCCGATCAGGAGCGGATGGTCTCAGCAGAGGAAAGTATGAAAGAGATTGACGAGGCTTCATTCATGGGTTGCAGCTCAATGCTCTGAAGCTCTTGGAGAGCCTGATGCAGTCATCCTTTCTGCGTCTTTTCTCGACACATCTGTCTCTTCATGCAATATCCAAACGCAGCTTCTTCACTCTGCACATGTTTGGCCACCCTTGCAAAGGGAGGCTAAGCGAAAACCTGCCCTAGCTGCAATTTTTGACCTTGCAATGTACTGAAAAAGTACGTTGTGAATCGTTGCGCGATGTAGGTCACCGAGATTCTGCGACCCTGTGCCACGCGGGCCTCGATCATCTACTTCGTTGTGCGGCCTCCAGCGCTCCAGAATCGGTCATCTCGCTTGGGATGAGCACGCACTCTTGGTGTTTGGCATCTCAGCATGCTTCAAGAAACCCAAAGAAATAGTCGGTCCTTGAAGCCAAAATGAAGCCCTAGAAGCTTGAGCCAGCCTTTCGGGCACAAGGACTATTTTGTTGGAGGCTGCAGGTGTGATTTGCGGCTCCATTCCTATTTGCCCTCGGAAGCCTGCCCATGCAGCATGCCTGCCAAGGTTGCAGATCTTGCAAACATCGACCCCATGTGCTCCTTGCAGAGCACTGATTCGATCTTCCTTTGTTTCGCGGGGTTGTTTGAAGGGGCCTGTTGCCCAATGAACCTCAAGACGCTTAATCCCTAATTAAGAGCGGATGTCGCGTGTTGCCCTGGTAGGCTGTCAGAGCGTGAGGCTCCTGTGATCTCCGGCGAACCACATCTCCACCCCTAGAAGAGAACCACTTGAGCTAAGTGGATGTGTTCTGGTACGCCGTCCAGACCAACAGGGACATGCTTGCAAGTTTGCGCACAACGATGCAGAGCAGGTACCAATACAGCCTTCAGTTCTTCACGAGCCTCTTCCAGCAGCGACTGGCCGCCAGTCAAAAGGCGGAGGACAAGAACGAGTCGTGCCGGCATGAATTGAGCCCAGTTTGGGGGACGGCACAGAGCATGCTGCTTTAAAGAAAGACGCCACCAACCCATCAGAAACAAGCATCCTTCGAAGTTGCCAAGACGCGAGAAAGAAATCCAAGCACGTCTTGCACTTGCCGCCTTGAAATCCCCTGGGTGATGGAAGGGGGATGGCTGCTCGGCCATGTTGCAGACAACTCCAGATCAGTGTGTTGAAGCCCTGACTAAGGCTTCTGGTCAATTTTAGCCCGAAATCATGAACATCCAACCTTAGAAAATCATGCATCCTTTGCTTGCAAACCTTTTAGAAGATCATATGATCTACAGCCACAAGCCAGGCGCATTCGCATTATCATCCAGGACTCTGGGCTCTGTATTCGCACACGGATACAGCTTGCTGGGTTGAATGCTAGTAAACAGTTTTGACATGCACCGCTGTGATCCCGCCTGGCTGAGCCTCCTGAGCACCGAAGAGTGTCGATACCATGTGATACCATGTTGAGGCAGGTGCCAAGGATCACTCAGCCGTGACCTCGTCCTTATCCAATCCCACAATTGCATGGTTTCGCGCATATATCCAAGACGCTTCTGCGCGAGTCGTTGACTTGGACCGTTGAAGTTTCAAACTCTTTGTTGGAGGACTTTACAGAGTTCATCTACACGAAGATCTGCATGGGCCTCTTCGAGGACGTGGCCTGCGCACTGCGTTTTCGGGACACTTTTCAATGTAGCCTGTGCGCAGACATGACACAGCTACTCAGCCCCATACGTCCAAGCAATGGGTCCCCAACCTCAAGAGATCGTGGCAACCCCAAGAGCTCTTCATTGTTGGTTCCAAAAACAGAAGACTGCTTGTCGTGGTGCGATGCAACTCCTCGAAAGGATTCGCCAATATCCAAGCACTAACGCGAAGATAGGTGTTCTGGAGCTCCCGACCCCCTTGTGGGTCAGTCGTGCTTGCGAATACGAGTCTACAACAGTTTTGTCGTAGGGATTGGTGTTCCCGAGGATCACAAGATGCTCTACTCCTTTATGATCTGCAACCGCTGCCTTCGGCACCAGGTCAGCTTTGGACAATCTGCGGTTCACATGGGTAGTGTTTCTGTGGCTAGGATCATGCGAATAAGGTTGTGGGTGTATGCTTGTGTTGAGGAAATTGCTTCAGCTTCATATGAACGACAGTCGCGCGCACAACATTATCACTGGAATAGTCATGACTGTCTGCTCTCAAATACATCCTTACTCCGACCCTTTGAGTTGAAGGACTCCAAAGTGGTGTCCTTTTTTTGGAGATCGCTCTAAGCCGCTCGCAACCTGTGGACTTCTTGCAAACGCGTGCATTTGAAGGGTGTTTTTTTTCGGGGTGGAGCTTTGTTCAAGACTTGATACTTCCAAGACAGCGAGAGTGCTCCACGTTTTTGTATAGACTTCCAGATTATCTGCAAGTCTACAGGAAAGAGAGACCTATCTGAGATCGGTCTCTCTTTCCAGCTGCACCATCTGCCCTCTGTCTTCCATGACACGCTCTAGCTTACTGCGTACTGTGAACTGCCAGGACGCCTTATAACCCCAACATCTGCCCTTTCATAATATAGTTTCCATTCTATATTTCCATTATCCCTATATAACCCTGTTATAATATGGTAGTCCCCAATGTACTCTAGTAGTTTCCATTTTCTTTTTCAGTAATATAGTAGTTACAAAGCCCCAGTATACACCCACTGATAGTCAAAGTGAGCTGCCTGAGGCTTGAGCTGAGGATGCCAATGGATTTGGAGATACATAGGGATAACGGAACAGAACATGGAGACTACTACAACGGGATTATGTAGGGTTTAGGGTTTGGGGTTTAGGGTCTCGGGGTTCTAGTGGGGATAATGGAAAAGAGCACGGAAACTACTTGGTATATTCGGGTTATGTAGGGATAATGGAAAAGAAAACGGAAACTACTGTGTGATTTGTCTCATTTTGTTTCATTTGTGCCGTCACAAACCCAATGCCAAGATGTTGAACATTGTTGGACTGTTCAGTCATGGGTTCTGTTCGGAAAGTCAGAACAGGTGCCGCCCTGCGGCTGAAGAACCTTTTTGCAAATCTTGCATGCCCCCAAAGGTGTGTCTCCCTAAGGAGTGCCAAGTACTTAGTCCTGTTGTGTGGTGCTTCTCGCCATCTTTAAGCTGATGCTGCAGCATTTTCAAGGTCTGGGTTTCTGAATCCATTGGGTACTGTGCTTGTATGCGGATGCATGTGCGACTACAAAACCGCATAGGTGAAATAAAGAGCCCAAGGCCCCAGAGAAGAACAAGGAGACCTCAAGCCCAGCTTTGAAGGTTCACGCCCAGTTCATGCACAAGCAACGCATCACGCCACAGGACCGACGCCATTATGCAGCGCAGGGTGTAATTTTAGGGTTTAGGGTGTAATATTCCCCTCATTAATGGCGCTATCTTGGGGAGATAGTACAAGGGGGAGGGATTAGAACAGCTTCCTCCACCCAAAACCTGCGCATTGCGTTGTGTAGTCGGAAGTCGATTTTGGTGGTCGGAGATGACTAAGTCTAGCCTGTCGGTACAGAGCCTAATCATGGCTGGATTCAGCCCGCATTGAACGAGGAGTGGAGCTTCTTCCTACGTGGCCTTGAGGCACGCTGAGTGGTCACAACTTGCAGGGTTAGCTCTGAGGGGAAGGGGTTTGGCTCGGTAAAGGCAAGCTATGTGCACATCAATTCTGCCAGGTTGGGGTGGCTGTTAGAGGCGGTCCAGAAGGGGACCCCAATCTTGAAAACTGCCATAAGCGGTGCAAAAGAAGTTTCAACGAGGATTTCATTCAGTCCTCAAAAAGATCGTGCCCACATGGTCTCACAAGACCGCCCTGCTCGGAGGGCTTTAGTCCCACTCTGCAGTACTGCATTGCTGCTGGGCATCACTGGCATCCACAATGCCAAATAGACGAGACATAGGAAAATGAAGCCAAGCTCTCTCCTGCTTAGCCTGACGAGGCAGGGAAAGGCATCATCGATGACACGCTGACCCAAGCAGTGGAGCCGCCAGTTGGCCCAGCTGTCAATTCAAAGTCCAAAGCTCTCCGATGAGCTCTCAGTGCTTTCTCAGGGGTCCTTGAGATGCAGCCTGGCCTTTGCAGTTCACAGCTTTAGTTCGCGCTGTTCTGCAGTCGATGGGTCGGAGGTTCCTCAAGGAACTCAAATTGCATGGGGCAAAGCAGGGGTGATGAGAAACACATTCTGTCTCAACAAGGCCTTCCTGGATGACAGCGCAGGCGTATCGGAAGCCTGGCTGCATGCAGAGGCTGCCGATTCTGCATGATACTGCTACCTGTAGAAAGGGAAGACAGAGAAATACAGCTAAAGCACAAGCACGTCCTGATGAAGACTGAGGAAGATGATGGTGCTGGAGCAGCTGACGACGAAAGCGGGCAGTGAGGCACTGGGCTGCAGCAGTGGTTGGGCGTCAGGTTGTTTGGTAAAGTTGGACCCGACCAGAAGTTGAGAATGCTAGAATGCCCGCACATACATGTGCGGTACTGACCTTAGAGTCAAAAGTGGCAGGCAGGCGTTCATTGATTATATTGATGCAGAATGTTAGCGGGCGTTACAATCTTATCCGTCTGCGTCGTGATCTCTACACAGGCCCTTCTTGATGCTTTGAAGAAGCGTGAGCGCCCAAATCCTCCTTCAAGCATGACAGGCCTTCGACGGCTTGGCGAAGGACATGTTTACTCCAGCGTGGTGCTCTCAATCTAGCCAGAAGCAGACCAGATACGGCGCACTGCGCCAGCACAAAATCATGCGGTGAACAATTGCCCAGCAATAGAGGATCCAAGATGGCTTGGGCTCAGAGGGACACAGGGAGGTGTGTTGCAACCCATAGCTTCGTGTATGAGATATGGGCACAGCGTTTTTTGGGTGATACTTCATGAAATGACTTCATGAAATGGGTGGAGTCAATGCTTCGAGGGCATGCTCTCAGGTGGCAGCATTTTGGTACGGACGACAACATGACGAACCGCAGCTTACCAGGCCGTGGTGCTTGCAAGAAGCTTATTCGTCGTTTGGATAAAAAAGTGGTTGCGGAAACAAGGTGGCTTGCAGCAGAGTCATGAAACCAACCTTCCCTGTCAAGCAGCTTGCATGCGAGGCACTTGGGGAGAACGCCTGACTCCGTTCCAGCAGCCTCTTGACTGACTTTGGAATTGGTGGCGAGCAAGACAGGTGGTTGGGACCACGGCCTAAAGCCATTGCGATTTTATGGTGCTTTCATGCGTTTTGCTGGGTGGCACACTGCTAAGTCTACCCAGGCTGTTGGTCATCAAGCCGTGTCCTCGGGCAAGCTGACAGATGCTTGGTCGGCCTTAGCTTGCCGGAGCATTTGGGTTGACAGTCTAGGGTTAGCTACTTCATACGCACTTGTTTCAGGGCACTGGAAGCTACAGCTACCTTGATCATGCAAGCCGCAGCCGTGAGCCTTCTGAGAAGGGACGGTCCCGCTGTGTAAGCTGCAGATGCTGGGCGAGCCAGATCCCATGCATGGAGTCTTTGTTTTGAAGAAATTGGAGACGTGGGCGCCGCTTGCGCACAGCGCTCAGCTCCTCCTGGTGCAGCAGCTTGCGCTCGAGCTTGCAGTGCAACTGGATGCCGCTTATGAAGGTCTGCAGCAAGCAAGAATGGAGAATGCAACGATGCATCTTAATCAACAGAGCATGTCAGAAGATTCTGCGACTGGCAATGGTCTGCCTGGTTTCCCGACATCTTACAAATCGAAATCTACCTCGCCAGCGAGCTCTGAGTCTGATACAAATGCTGCAAATCCGGTTGCGACATTGATGCCTGACACAGCAAGTGGCATGACCCAGGCACCTGATCCAGCGCAATCCAGCAGTTCACGTGATTGCAGCAGTGCCAGTTGCAAGGAAGATCGGAGAACCAGCACAGGTGCGTGCTTTGCCAGGGAATGTGGATTAAACCAAACTCTGAAATCATCCAGCAACATCAGCCCGCAAGACGATCGGGTCGAAGCAGCTTGCCAGACAGACTTTAGAGAAGCTACGAACCTTGCCGAGCAAAGTGAACCCACCTCGAACTGCTCATTGCTGGAGACCCCTGCGCGTTCTCAGCACCCCTGCATGGATTGTGAAGCATGGAATCCCTACAACCTCCTCCTGCCCAGCCTGTTGCAGTATCTTTCTGTGCCAGAGTTACTGACTTGGCGATTGATTTCTCGACGGACCAGAAGCACTAAGGTCTTAATGCAGCATGTTGCAGAGATGGGCAGATTGGACGGGTCGTCTTCAATCATCGAATTCTGGAATCAGCTGGTATTCTTCGCCCATTCTGAGGTTGGCTCAGTCTCTGCAGCCTGCGCAGGGGACGTTGAGCAGCAGAAGCGTTTTGACTGTGGGTGTTGGTGCATAGCGCTGGCGTTGACCAGAACAAGCCATTTTGCTGAGAGTGACGTCCGCCAGATGGTTTGCAAAAACCTACAAGACGTACTGATCTGCTGCCGGACTCCTAGTGGATCAGTTAATGCCGCTGCTCATTCTTTAGTCAGCAAATATGGAAGAGGTGGCCTCCCGTTTGTGCATCACCTGATCGCGGAGGTTATGCTGGATCTGACAGAGCACATCTTAGAAAACTGCAGCGACATTCGCCTCGCTACCTGGATCGAATTATCGCTTTGCATGGCTCATCTTGACTACACCCTGCTTTCGCTCTCAAAGTATCAGCGGCAGAAGTGGGTGTCACTATTAATCCGAATCCTCCACGTTTGCCGCACATCTTCGGACGAGTGTCTCCCGTGCGTGGCCTATTTTCTGAAGCTCCTTTGGCTGGCTGATGGCGAGCCCAGACAAACATATGCAGAGGCAGGGCAAGAGCTGTGGGCGTTCGCCAGTTCCGGGAGCCCAGACATGCAGCTTCAACTGCGGGACCTCTGCGAACCTGCAGGTCCGGGCTTAGCAGCCTGGCTCAGAATGACGACCTGACTTTGCAGACAATTGTAGATTCAAGACATAGCATCAATCGAGGCTTGGCAAAGAAGGCCTGTACAGTAGCACAACATGTTCTACTTGTGCTTGGCACAAGCTATCTCCCAGGTCACTCCGCGAGAACTTCCTCCAGCTGGCAGGTTCCTCAGAGGTTTGCTCTTGGGGGCGTAGTGGATTCAGGCCCCCAAGACAGAACAAGTCCACGGAGGCCCTGCCCACGTATACTACTACGGTAGTTGCCATGAATCAGCATACATTTGCATGTTGTCCTCAAGTAGATGGCCTAGGGGTTGGTGATTGTAGTCTCAGGGCCTAGGTGGTACGCAACTTCGTTGGAGCAGAGCTGGGCAAGCACTACACGGTGTCTCCCGACTTTGACCTGGTGGGATGCTTCAAGGACCCAGATCAAACTGCGCAAGTTCCTATGGCACTAAACTCGGAGTGGAGGACTCCAAGAAGACCATGCCGCTCATCTTCGTGTTGTTGGGACCTCAGAACACAGGCTTCACGTTTCAGGACTTGATCATTGGACTGTTGATCTTGGGTGCCACTCTCCAACATGCGAATGGCAATTCTTCCCCAAAGAATTGATTCCTCCAGTAAGGATCTAGAAGGATGCTTCGACGTGCTGCGTTGGAGCCTGCCCAGGTCTGCTGGAGCCGACCCGACGGATTACTTGGTGAAGCTCGCTAAGGACTTTGAGTACGAGGACCAACGCATGCAAGTCCCCCCTCCTGCTATGCACAAGACTCAGCCATAGATTGTGCCAAGACATCAAGCCCGAAAGCCTAAGGCACTCCCAATGTGGTCCCTACCGTTCTTCAAAGGAGCGGCTGCACTTCATCTCACTCGGGCAAGGTCAGGGGCAGAAGGCCCCAGTGGCAGAGAAGCACTGTGAGTAGCTTGTCATTCTACCATCGAGCAGCAACTGCCGCAGAAAAGCCCATGGTCCCTGCCTCGGCCAGGCGGAAGCTCTTATCAAGCACGGCCAGGAAACAGGTGCCGCTGTTAGTGCCACGTACTCGTAACATGCAAGTAGCGGCAGCAGGGCAAAGCAATTTTCAAGGACGTGGTGGCGCTCTGTTTTTGTTCATGCTTTGCCGATTCGTAGTCCTATGGCACCACACAGGTGATTGGGTTTGCCTCCAGAACTGCCACCTCGCGGCCAGCTGGATGCCAACGCTGGAGCGAATACAGGACTCGCTCTAGTTCACCGTTCTTTGGAGCTTCTCTACCAAGTTCTTGAGGGTTGCTAATGCATACCGTTGACGATCGACAAGCAGAACTCTCGCAGGAGATGCAAGATCCGGACAGCATTGACGACATGTGCGCCTATGCTTCATGTTTTTGGTGTCCTATCATGTAAGACCTTTGTCAATCTTATGTCACGGCCGGTGCTGCACAGAACACCAGCAAGATAGGCATCCTAAGCTTGAGATCTCTCTGCCCCTCTCTCTCCTTAGGATGGCCCATGTCCCCTGTTGTGATGTGATGCGCAGGTATCGCTTATGGCTGACGTCAATGCCTTCAACAACATTCCCTGTACCAGTGCTCCAGGGCGGCCAGGGCCTCGCAGGAGGACATCAAAAAGCTCCCTTCTGACAAGCATGGAAGGGAAAGTTTGCCAAACCAGAAAATCACAGGCCCAAGCCTGAAAGCCTCAGCGTGGGTGTTTCAGCCACGCGGTGCAATGGCAATGCAACAAGAAGAATGTTTGCAGTTGCAGGTCCACCTTAATAACTGCCACCTTAGGGACCTCATCCTCCCATGAAGATCCACCAAGGCATCAAGATCACCAACGAGCCGCCAAAGGGCCTGAGAGCAAACCTCACGCGCACGTTTCAGGACAGGAACACAGTTCCTTAATAGCTTAACTTAGCTAGCTCCAGAGAGGTCTCCCAGTGCCCACGGCATTTGTCAGCTTGGGATGTTTTTTTTTTGGTTTGGCCTGAGCGAAATGTTATAATTTGTCTTTCGGCTGGCAGTGCTTCAGGAATCCTAGGGAACCATTTAATTACTGCATGTATTTTCGTTTGCTTTCTCCATCCACACCGAGCCAGCAAGGACATCACGCCTGAGATCTACGAGGGCTGCACCAAACCGCGGGAGTCTGCAGCCTCGGAAGATTGCTGACATTGAAGGTGGATTCAGATCGGACCTTTGTTCAACCTTCCGGGCACGTTATCCAAGGTTCAAGAAGCTCCTGCCGCTCACCCATTTTGCAATATTCTTGCATGCTACAATCTTTCAGAAGCTGCTTTCGTTGATGCTTGCAGATCTGGCACGGATGAGTGCAGCCCCACAGTCTCAATAGCTTCTGAGCCGTTGATTTGTGTTTTTCTTGCTGAACCGTTGCCTTTTGTGCTCGCTTTGCACGCAGGCAAGGATTCATGATTTCAACCCCTTCATACCAACATACTTGTCAGGGGCCGTTTTGCCAGGCACGTCGCCAGCTTGTTGACAGCCAAGCATGAAACAACCGTCAACAAGTTTCACAAAGGGTTTGCCCACAAATGCAATGTCAACTGTAACTCGAGGCCGCTGAAGCTTCATAGTGGGGATCGTTTTTCCGAGGACCCCTGTAGCTTTTTAGGGGTACCGAAGGAAACCCCTCAGTTGAGAGATAGACGAAATTTCAGACACCACGACGGGCCACGAACGAATTCGAGCCATGCGCTGCTTGGAGCTTGAGGAAGCTTCCAATGTCAAGGCAAAACTGTTCTTTTTGTTCGTAAGTCTTGTACGTGTCAGGAATTTTGATATTTTTGGAGGTGCATGGAGGGTGCGCAAAACGAAGCATGCGCGGGTCCACGTTTGAGTTTTGACTGGAACACAGGTCCCCGTATGAGAACAGTCGTTTAGGCAAACTCCCATGCGGGCGACCCTCAATCAAATGGTTATGCAGCGGGACAGCAGGGCGCATGTAATTTTGGTAGCTGCATTCTGTAGCTTGGTCAGAGTATGCGATGCTGTGGGCTTGCCGGATCTTACTGTTTGTGTGTCTTAAATGCAGTGGTCTTGTCTGCAAGCGACACAGTACCTGCATAGGTCACGGTTTAGCTTCTTGACTGTTGTTTTTGGCCTGCGCGTGGGCTGCTGTGAGCATCCAAACCAAAGACTCTGCACCTCAGTTTTTTCACTTCACGAGCCAGCGCCATGGCTAGTAGGTGTCAAGGGGCTTGCAGTGGGCTCACGACCGCCTGGTTGCTTCCAAAGCTTCAGGGCTGAAGGTTGGTTTCGCCCACCCACGCTTCCTGGACCCGGCGCTGACAGGAGAAGCTTTTTGATGAAGAAGCTCCCTCCGAGGCTCAAATCTGCCATATGGCAGGTTCCAGCTTGGGAGTTGAGGTTTCAGCGGAGCAAAACCCCACACTGCGTTTTTCAACCTTGGGCCACGAAGTCAAACTAAAGTACAGACTTGCAAAGCCTTGCTACGCAGCGTCTTGTCTTGAAGGCAAGCTCCGTGTGCCACTGACAGAACCTGTAGATGTCAGACTTAAAGCCGGACTAGCCAAGTGCTTGCACAAGCGAGGAGTTCTTATCATATGCGGGCACAGCTGGTAAGTTGCAAACATTGAGTCCTAATCAGCTTGTGCTATGAATCGTGCACAGGGTCTTTTCGGAAGGGCTTCAGACATCGCCAGAGAAACTCCCAATCATTTTCATCCTTGGAGGCAAGATGCCCTGCAGAGAAGGACAGAGGCCCACCACGGCAACTTATGATCTCAGAATTTTTTTCCCCGCTAGTCTGCGGTTAACTTGTTGGCGACAGTAGACTTGAGATCAATTTCAAAGACGTGCGCCGGACAGTGGCAGCAGAAGGTTCGTGGAAGGGGATGGCTTTGGTGGAAGGTGCCCCGAAAGTATTTCCTGAGTCGAAGATCGAAATGGTTCGTGAAAGCAACAACTTCAGAGTGTCAAAAGATTGAGAACGCTCTTTGCCGCAGAAGGGCTTCGTGGAAGAGATATTTTGCGTCAGAAAATGTTTTAATTCAACAGGAACTACTGCTCAGGGGTACTTGCTATTTTTGGTCATAGGACGCTTCGCAACCTATATAGTTCAGCTTGAGGTTGAGGCATTATGGGTTCGGTAAGGCAGCTACAAGGCAGGGTGCAGGTAGGACTTATCGTGTCAGGGGCTGAGTTCCATCAAAAGAGCATGCGTCAATCATCGCACGCATGTTGAAGGTCCTGCTCTGACGTGGTGGTTCCGGGCCTGCTGCTTCTGCTACAGCGCCCTGGCTGACTGTGAAGCTTAGCGGGTACGCAGGTATGTGCTGCAGGCTTTCAGTTCTCTGACTTTCTGACCTGATGTGTGCAGCGCTTGAGAGGTGCTGTTGGCATCGACATGGCCTGGCCAGCCTGGCGAGAGTATTCCTTGAAATTCTGGCTTGGCATCCTCCGTACCCATAAGACATCATAAGACTTTCTGGCTCCAGCAGGCTTGAACCCTCACTTTTGCCAGGCGACTTGGCTATGTTGCCTGCCACTGCGCGGCGTATCCCTGGCAGCTGGAGGCAAGGTCACACGTTGTGGATGGGCATTCTGTCTCGAAGGAGATGAGCACGGCCCCAGTTCCTTCGTCATTGCAGCATTCTGCTGTGAAACATGCCAACAGTGACTCAAGAGGTGTTGCTGCTAATCAGTCAGCGCTATGCAGACGTCGCTGTAAAGATGGTAAACGCTGGCCATGGGTCGGGCTGCATGACTGCCAGAGGCATGCCTCCTGCTCCTTCAGGGTTGCAGGGGCCCCAGCGCACCACCAAGCGAAGGTTTGCAGACGCCAGGCCCATTTTTGTGTTCAGAATCGCTTCAGCTGATGCTTGGGAGTCCACAGCTCCGCAGCAAGATTGCCAAGTTTCAAAGTGCAAGGCCTGTCGTTTATGCATGACGCCTACTTCGCCGGGCGATCGCCTGCAGCCAAACTTGCAGACAGGCGCCCCGGCGTTGTGGGGCACACCATCATGCCGTCATAGCAGCTGGTAGCAGTATGTAGCAGTGATTATTGCAGTAAGCAAAGAATCATGTGTGTGAGAATCACGAGCGCAGATGGGCATACTGAGCGGAAAAGATTGCCTTTGACTAGAGCTGCCCCTGCGAAGCATTTTACGCACAATTTCAGCCTGGCCCTAGTGTCGGGCATCGTCAAGTGAACATCCTTTCAATTTCGCTATACCAGTTACCATGTGTGGGGCAGCCTTCCAGATGGAGCAGATGGGCACTGGTTTACAAAAGACATCCGTGCGCACTATTGGAAAACTGGGTGCAGGTGCTGCGCCACATTCCTCACGATGTGCCAGCCTCTGAAGCCTGGCACCAAGGGAAAGCAGGAGTCGCACAAGCCCGATCGCAAGTCTTCAACTTTTTCTTCTTTCAGCGAGATGTGCAGCCCTGGCCACAGAAGCCCAAAGGCTTGCGTTTTGCAGCATGGACGCTGTGCAGCTGTCCTTGCTGTGCTGCTCTTGGACGCAGGGGGCCCAAGCGAAATCGATACACAGGTGACACCTTATTGTCATGATTAGGTGGCAGGCACATTTAGGAATATTTGGGCTGACTTTGGCGTCTGCACATCACATCTTTCTTGGGCCTGTGCGGAGAAGCACAGGGCCTCCCATCATCACATCTTTTGATGCTAACGTGTCAGGTCATACTGCATCTTCGTCAGCAGATCGAGCCCAAGAAGTCCCAACATGACGCCATCACAGTTTTGAAGAAGATGTAGGCAAGAACTTGGGAAGCCCACAGAATGACCTGGTATCATCCATCATCCTAATTTGCTTCACCCACCTGCTGATGTACGTTGTTACTTTGCTGAGCAGGTTGGGCCTGCTGTGCTTCAAAGCCGCTACACGCGCCTTCGTAGCAGGCGAGTACGAAAATGTCCGGAGAAAATCAGAGAAACCTGAGAAAGGCTGCAGGCTGCTGCTTCTGAAGGTCATGAAACAGAAGTAAGGCATCAGCATTCACATACTTAGGCTCAATGCCCTGAAGTAAACCAGCAATCCCGTGTCGCAGACCCCTGTCGGAAGGCAGGGCATGTAGAATGACTACAGCAATCGATGCAACAACATTTTCTTGAGGGTTCGTGGTGTACTCCAATCGTGGCCAGCCGTCTCCAAACAAAACCCAGCCAACCTGCAGAACCCACGGCCAGGCAATGGGCGAAGATACCAGTTTTTTCATACGCCCGGGCCCAAGCAACAGTGCAGAGGCCATGTGCAAAGCAAGAGCTTTGATTCCAAAAGGCAAGTTCCGCCATGGACCTCGCAAGCTCTCACGGGTTATCTTCATTCATATTTCCGCGTGATGAACCACTACACATAAGGACGGCTCTTGCTGTCCAAGTCTCTTGAGCTGTGCCGGTTTGTGTCGACCCCCCACCTACATCTATGAATAAAGAGAAGATTCCGCAACTTGTGGTTCAAAGCTCCCTTGTGCTGAGATTTTTGGGTCTGAATTGGAGAACCCCAGAGCTTCCATTCATATGGGTTGTATAATAGCCCAGCGCCAAGGGATTATGTCCTGGCGCGACGCAACGTGCAAAATTAAGGGTGTTAGTTGGACAAAAGGCAAAGAGGAAACCTACGAAAACGATAAAGTCCGAAACTTGGAAACACGACAGGAGGAAAACAAAACGACAACAACATTTCGGGTCAAGCAAAAAAGGAACCGGGTTTTTGTACAACCCCATATGTCTCTTCGTGGAGGCATCCTAGCCGAAGAGGATGTAATGCTGTAGAGCCGGCACGCCCACGTTAAATTGCGCGGCTGCGCGAAAGAGGGTGAACAACTCTTAGAGGCACGTCAGGATATCACAACAGATACTTGTCAGTTGACGCGCTCTACCACTGCATGGCCCCCTCAAACTCCAAATTCTGAGGCTGTGGCACATACTTCTTCCCCTGGGGGGCTACTTGCAGCTTGGCATAACATGTAATCAGTTACCGCACACTTTCCGTGAGGTGAGGCTGTGAGAGCTCTTGAGGTGAGTTTTGCAAGCCAAGGTGGATTGAGTACACTCGACTCTCGGTCCTCCTTTTGCACGCTAGCCGCGAGCTGAGCGGAGCGCGAATTTGGGTATGAGACCAAAGAATCCAACCCCAAAACTTTCCCTCCGGTGAGCAAATGTCATTGATGCATAGGCGCATCCGTTTGCCTAAGACTTCAAGTTTGCAGCCATGTGCAATGCATCGATATGACAAAAAACGTCCCGAATGTCGCAAGCCTGTTATATAACTTCAATTATCAAATGTCTCCTAGCAGTGAGGCATAGTCTGTTGGAATCTAGTTGGTCAGGCAAGCTGCCGGAGACACTCTTGAAGCATTCAGCAGCCTTGTCACTCACTGGTCATCCTTTCAGTCGTGTCTGTTCGGATTATCTGTACCATGATGGCACCTAAAGCTTGAGATCCAAAGTGCCCACCTGAGCTATAGTCTAAGCTCCTGGTATCCCCCTTCATAAGCCCTATAGTAGTTCCTTAGATGATCCCCTTTCAGGAGTTTAGACTACAGCTCACCTGGGCAAGGTTCGCATCGACATCCGCTGCTGAGCTCCGAAGCCATTTGGGTGCTGGCCTTGGACTTGTCAAAATGATAGGAGCCACATGAAGCGAAAAAGGTTTCTCAGAGTCGTCCTCATTCTGCGAACCGAACCAGCAACTCTCATTTGCGAGCTTGGCCAAAGGATGATTTCATTCTATAAAACAGCTTCCATCCAGCGGTGTCAGCGCCAGGCAGCGAAACACAGCACGCAGGGCGAGGATGTTGGCACACTACTACTCTGGGGTCCAGGCTGGCAGGGGCTGACAGCCCAGGCAACGTATAAACTTGAATGATTCGGGATATCATCTTAATCATGATTCATAATGCCCCATATGTTTCTCAATTCTATTCACTCATATTCTGGGCTGTTAGGGCTCTGAATGTGGCAGTCTTCCTTGGGGAACTCCCAGCCAGGTGCCTCCGGCCCGGAATGCCTGCAGCATTCCTATGCCCGGCTGTGGGGCCCACGGTAGCTTAGGCCAAATTCGCATCTAACCTCGTTTGGGTGGCTGCCGAAACTGGGGTCATGCCAGAGATTCCAGACTGCAAGTGGCGTTCCTTGGGACGTCCAGATCCAGTGGCAGCCACCTGCATGGCAGAAAGACTTCAAGTTTGTGCTGATCTGATATGGAGATATATGGCGGTTTTCCTCATTCGTATCTGCAGTGGCAAGGCAAGACCAACCAGGACACGCAACCTTTTTGCCCGGTGGCAGGGTTCAGCACAAGTATTCAGGTTTCAGGGAGTGCACTTCAGCACAATTGGCTTCGTGAACCCTCCGAAGAGAGTCGTTTCACAGACTGCACTGGTTGCCAAGGAGGTTTCGAGCAAGTTTGAAAGCTTTCTTGGAGTTTCTGAATCTGCCAGAGGGACTGCTGCAATCCAGTTACAATACAATAGCTCTCGAGACTCTAGGTTCGCCAAGGGTCGACTGTGTTGAGAAACCCGATGGAGATGGTCATTGTGCCTGTACAGGGCAAGGGCATCCGTCTTCCCCTTCCTAGAAGTTGGCGCTAATAGGGAAGACTGCTGATAAGCATCAACTACAGGTCTCCAGACAGTTCTTCATAGATTGGATTGTTGTGAAAGATTTGCCGGCAAGCTGTGCAGTCCCAGCAGGGCCGAAGTGCCCAATCGTCGTTGACACGGACATGCTGGGCAGGTACATGTTCGAAGCTGGCGCAGCGCCCTGCGCCCTCTTTTGTATTTTATAGGCTATATACATCGCCCCTACATGTATGCAGATAGGCTGCCTTACCGCACCGCAACACCGAAGAATCTGCTACGCGAAGCTGCTAACGCCGCCCAGCAAGTCCAAATCTATGCCCCATGCACTTCGTGGCCCAAGTGTGAGGTTAGGGATTAAAAGCCCTCCCTCGCAGACGCGAGACAAAACAGTGCCATCAGATCCACAGGCGTGCCTACCACCCGTGTAGCCAGAATGTCTGCAAGCTTCGCTGCAGGCATACCTGTCGCCTCATGCTTCTGTCACATTCTTCCTTCCAAGCTCCCAGCGAGGTTTGCACTGGCCTTCTTCCATGCCGCCATCCTCGAGCGGCGCAAGTTTGGTCCAATTGGCGTGCAGCCCAGCGGATAGACTTCTTGAGGGGGCACCACACACGCCTTGTTGCGCCTGTGGTGTGAAAATCCTGGTCCAAAAGCCCCAACAAATTCCTGACTCGCAATTAAAAATTCCAGGATGGAACGTACCCTACGAGTGGATGGACAGCGATTTCCAGGCATGGCACCGGCACGGGGCCTGACATCTATAAGCTATTATGCAGAGCTGATGCACCATGCTCCCGGAAGCGAGATTTACAAATCCTAAGCATGCTCATCTCAGATCAAGCGATTATCCCAATCATCAAATATCTCAATGCGATCTCCATAGTGATGGAGCATCAACACAGCAATCAAATGGAAAATGAAATGGAAACTACAATTGCCAGCTTACACTTATTTTCTACTTGACATTACATTATGCATCATTTCACGGGAGACTTTTGGATCTGACTGAAGCTCAGCGCCCATGTGCCCTGCAGGTGTCTCGCGAGCAGGCACCTTTTTGCATGTTTCGCAGTGAAGGGTGCCAGTAGCAAAACATGTGGAACATTTTTTCTGTCGCAACATGATGACGTTTCTTCAGATCTTCATGTCTGCAATTCAAGTTTTGATTGCGCACCAGGTTCAGATGTACCTTGAATCTCAGCCGGGTGTGCCCTGGATCACGCTGAACTATATCATCGCCGAGGCGAAGGGTAAGCTGCTGCTCTTCTGCACGTGATGTTATTCGACATGCAGCGATCCTGCTTGCAGTGAATGCTAGTATGAGAGCCATACTTTTTTCTGATTCCACGTTGTGATGATTCCTGCAGCTGTTGCAATCACATCGGGCGCGGCCCTTGCGGCTGATGCAACTCATCCGCCTCCCCTTCCCCAGGTTCTGTTTTTCCGAAAGCGTGCAGTCTTCTCAAGGTTTACGCCATGCAAATAGCCTAACAGGAACTTTTTTTGTCTAATGGTATGTCAAGTGAGGCAAGCTCTGTCAACAATGATGACGCAACAAAACATAGTGTGGTGTCCATTTTTGAGTCATGTACCTTTTTGGCCGACTGAACTGCTGCCGCCTGCCAGCTTGGCTCGTACAGCTGCTTGAAACCACATCTCCAATCCCCAGGTAGGTGCCGATCTTATGGATGGGTATCTGTAAGGCTCCCTGCCTTTTGCAGACCTGGGCAACCACAAGTGAGTACTGTAGCCAACGCCCGGGAGTTTGATTGTAGGACAGTGGCTCCTCCAACAACGTACAGCAACACAACTACTGCTGAAACACCGTTGATTAACACCCACAATCAGAGGCAGTCAAATTTGACAGCACTCTTCTGCCTTTTTTGGACCGCAAGCGGTGTTCAGCCGCTGGCCGTGCCTGCAGGATGAGGCTGGCAGCCACAGAAGGTTGAGAGCAGTGAGACACTTTGTCAACAAGCTTATTGTTTGTTTCCTTGCGCCCAACCGGCCAGCCTATGGATATTTCGCAAACTTTCCTGTGCCTCCCAGCCAGGTAGTTCCAGCTTTCAACAAGTCAGTCTGCTAGCTTAAAGCCGTAGCAAGACATGGTGCCAGAATCCTGCCCGGTTAGTGGCCAGTGGTCTCTGGGCTGTCCCAAAACAAATCACAACTCGCTGCCAGCACCTTCACGCCTTCGATGACGCCTGCAGAAGCGCTGCTCGTTTCTGTGTGATATCCGGTTGCTGAGCGTTTGCCCGTTGTCAACAGGAGATGAACTCATAGAACAGAAGACAGGACCCTAGACCATAATACCATACGAGAGACTTCGTTCACGTCTTGTGTATGTTGTTGAACATCTGTTTCAGTGCTGGGGCTTAAGGCCTAAGAAGGGTTGGTCCCGTCTAACTTGATGCCGTGAGCAATCTGGCAGGTCTGCCAGAATTTGGCATTCCCAGCTAAAGGCCGATCAAAGGCAACAAACGCCATGATTGTGACCAAGGTGAGGATGTGTAGCTTCTCCATTCAAGTCACATGAGGCACCCTTCGTATCCCTTCGTACATTTTTTAAAGGAACCTCATGCAGGTCCTATGAAAGAACCATGATGTATCTGCCCAGAGACAATGCAAGCCCCAAGGGTGCTGCTCACTGCCAAGGCGGAGCAGGACAGCGATCCCCCTGAATGCTTTTTCTTTCTGAAAAGTTGTGGATCCATGTCGTGCCCCCTCGCTGAGGGTTGCAGGACTTTGGAATGTTATTGGCACTCTACTCCAAATTGCAAGGATTTTGGCTTTGGCCGTAGTGGGCGCAGGAATTTCTAGGCACCGCGCTGCCAGCAAAAGTTGAGGACGTCAGGCAATGGCCTGCCAATCAGTACCAAGTACAATACCGCAATAGCGCGCATATTGCTCCGGAGAATCTCAGCTTAGCGAGTAAATTACCAATTTAAATTCTCCCCTACTTGCGCACTGCTGGGGCTGGAGGACCGGATGAACAGCATCACCAGGCTGTGCATGGAGAGGCAGAGCGATGGTCAGTCATTTGAGGGTAGCTGCTGCACTGATTGTTTTTTTTGGCAAGCATAACGCCCTTCTGAGCGAGAGGCGGTCCGCACTGAGTATAGCACCCCAATTACTGCATACCTAGCAAGCCACGTCACGCTTTATCACATCCGCAGTTAGCTCAGCCTCAGGTGTGCGGACACCTTGCGCAGTGATGAGGCGATGCAAGCCGCCTTTGATGCTGGTGGTGTGGAAATGATTGGTTGACGGACAGAAAATAGGAGCCATTTTCTTCCATTCTTCGGTCAACTGCCCGGATACGCATCTCAGATAATTCCAAAACGTTCGACTTCAGCAGAAGAGTTGTCTACAGCAGCAAGCCAACCTGAAGCGCACTTGGCATGAGGTTTCAAGGCCAAGTCATCCTCTGAGTCTTGGGTCGCACTTTCGGTTTAGATAGAATTAGAACCTTCCATCTAAGAAACAATAGGTCAAATGCGGCCAGTAGAAAAGAGCCTGCAACAAATATGGGAGCATCCCTGTCACCTGTCGGCGTTTCAGTTTCTTTTCGAGATAGCAGGTTCCAGCCAGAACTTTCCAAGTGTGCCAGGCTATACCAGTCGGACAAGACTCCCATGAGCGTTTGCCAGAGAAGACACGGCAGCATACTCAGCACCTGGAGGGATTGACGGGAATTGCATGGAATTGCCCCCTCAGAGAGCAGGGGTGACTACTCGGGCATGCTGCATACTCCACTGTGCGTTCCGTGTCATTTTCCAGTTTTTGACGTCCATTGCGCTGCCTTGCTGGCTCAAATTAAAGCTGGCTCTCGAGAAAACCGTTACATAAATGCTCGGAACCACATGCAACGTCAAGAGTTCTCAGCCGTCTCGTGTGCAACCTAGGCACTACAAATAAGAATGCTCCCAACCATAACAACTACGACGTCGTGATGGTATGGTTCCACGGACGGTGTCAGCAGTGACCAAACCAGGAAGTATTTGCATAATTCCATTTGAAACCTCCCTGAATACACTGCGCTGAACTTCCGATTGCCGCCATGCATTCCACGATAAAGGCTCGGTGGCTTAGACAGTGTCCTTAGCTACAATTCCAACTGCGCAAGGTTGCTTATGAGAATCTGTAGGGCACCGGCAGAGAGGAACAGATCCCAGGCCACAAAAATTGCCTGGGAGTAAGATTCCTGGACTACTAGTACCCAAGCAGCGGGAAGCAGTGGCTTTTGGGGGAGATGTCCACAAAGGGGTCCTACATCTGGGCCTTGAGAAGCTCCTTTCACTCGCCAGGAGGACACCTTGGGCCCGAAGCCCAGTACTCCCAGAGCGACTTGGCATTGCAATCAGCTGTTTCGTACTGCTCGCTTGGGCTAATCTGGAAACCATGGTGTCTTTGAAATTTGAGTTTGGATCCAAGTGGGGTTCGGATGGAGCAGGCTACAAACCTTGGTCAAAGCTCACTCACCAATCGCCAACCGCTTGAACCTGTGACCACACATTCCCAAAGGATCTGATGGGATCAACGACGGACACTTGGAGGAGGGCCAGTGCTGTCCAAGCTTCCTGCATGAACGCCTGCTATCGTCTGACTCACAGTCTTCTGATTTTTGCAAGACAGTTCTGCACATGTAGGTCGCCGTATACAGTGTATTTTTGAGTGGCGCGGACTTCATTCTCTTTGCACTTTTCTTGTCGTACGAAAAACCTTTGCGGACATGATCCGCTTGCGCCCAGCACTATGCTGCATAAGGAAGGGCTGGGGCTGATAGTCATGATGGTGGGCCTCTTGCACAAAAGGTGAAATTCTGAGTGAATGCTAGTGAAAGGTACAAGCTAGAGCGCGCTTACAATTTGTTCTAAATGTGAGGTTGGAGCACCAAAGTCACCAAAGCTACATGATGCTTCAGATGCAGTTATGGATGCCATTCATCACTCAGAGTTCATCAAAACAACGTTTCAACGTCAAAATGTTCATCGACTGAGCAGCATGCAAGCATCTAGCTGAGCCTGTGTAGTCCTTTCCGGAGTGTTGTTTAAGGCTCTGCCGACTACCAGCTACCTGATGGATATCGATTGATGCGCCAAAAAGCTGTTACAGCCAATTTCATGCAAGCATCCGGCATGAGATCCTTCGTATAATTGATTTGCACAAGTAGCGCATGCCTGGAGAAGTTATGAGCAGCTTTCCATCGGCGATTTCTAGCTCATCCCCATGTCTGGAACTCGATTGGTTCTAATGCTGCCGATTGATACAGCGAATGTAAGTCTATCGCAGTAAGTCTAAATGATGGCACACTCACTGTGCTAGCTATCTTTGTCCAACTTTTACGGATACTGCTTTGGTGATCGTTCAGTGTTTTTTTTTAATGAGTGACACTGGCTATATTTGCCTACTTTGCGAGCCTTAACATGTGTCTGGAGGACACTTAGAGCAGTCACACGCAGATCGGCGTTTTTAGGTCAGCGTTCTCCAAGTCTTGAGAAAGTGAGTTAAATGCCGCTTTGCGCAAGTTCCGCATTGATGTGGGTTGCTAGGTCAGCTGGGCCAAGCGCTGTGCAAAGACCAATCTAAGCAAGATGACTTATCTTTGCGGGTGTTTTGCTGGCGCGAGGAGTGGCGGAGAGGACCGCTATTCGCCGGAGCTGAAAGGCTGCCACGAAGACTAAGAAGACGCAGAGACGGCTGTTGTGGCAATCAGATGCCTTTCTAACCACCCGCCTATTGCAGCACGGCTAAAGGCGTTGTACAAGGTTTTGCAACAACCCATGCGCGCACAAGCTCGCGCAAGGGCAGGTGCAAGAATAAACACGTCCTCATACATGTTGACCTTGCACATATGCATGCACCACATGTTGAAATACGTGCAAATGCCCACGCGTGCAAGACAGCGCACGCGCGCAAGACAGCGCAAGGGCGGACCGGGCGGGCGAAAGGAAAGCCTAAGTATAGAACTTCGTTATGAACTGTTGCCAGGCAGACGCTCATGTATCTGTCCCTGCGCAGTGGCCAGGCATTGCGTTGCCGCCGCCCAAGATGAAGTTGGCTACAGAAGATGACGATCCCTGGCCAGCATAGGTCCGGACGGAGTGTGGATGCCTGGGAATACCATAGCAGCAGGTGGAACGAAAGCTTCTCAGCAAAAGCTATCCCCCAGGCTGCCGTTCACAAAGCCAAGGAAGTGATGCAGGAATTCGTCCAGTCCCATCTTGTCAGCACCCTGAATCC